GCAGCTCTACACCACAGGTCCTATCTGACAACTAAGCCAAAGGCCAGAAGTCATGCTCAGCACCAATGAGTAATTGCCTCCTATTTGATAGGAATATTTTTTTTGTTTAATCAGACTGTCAGTTTCCAGTATAGGAAGGGTTTTATATCAGATCCTAATCAAAGAGTATATTGTAGGGCTTTACCTCTCTACTTTCTCCTCTCCTCCAACAGGGTATGTGTGTTATACACATAAAGCAACCTGGCACTGTAGCAGGTGGCTAGCAAAAAGCATAGAGGACAAGAACACAGGAAAGAACTTTTGTTTGGTCTCCCTTCTAAACTTTTCCAGTTCCTCCAAAAACAGAGCAGAGTCCTTGTTCACTAAAAAAAAAAGCAAGCAAGAGTTACATTTGTGGAGAAGTAGGTTCCCTTTCCTCCTGAAACCAGAGGATTTTCTGACCTTGCAACTCTTCTCCGCTTTAAGACTTCTTCAGAGAGAGAAAAACAAGATGATGAGCAATGTGAGTACGTACAGACTGTACTTCAATTACCACTGAGCAATGTTTCTTTCAAATAGTTTGTGTCATCTCAGCTATAGTGTTAAAATAAGATACAATAAAATAGAATAAGGAGCTCAATGTAGCTGCAGTCCTGTATCAATCATCACAAGCGAATCAGTGCTATATAAAGGTGTGAAGAGATGTATATTACCTATTGTAATGGGAAAATACATGAAAACTGATACTTAAATGTGTAATGACTCCCTGTTGTATGCAGAATACATGCAGAAAAAATAACACAGACCTTAGAAAGTTTGAATCAAAGAACTGGTTTATTGATGTCTGCAGTAGGACAAAAGACAATGCTTTCCATATTGAGAAAGCATCACAAGTAAAAGGCCTTCCTCCAGTGTCAAAGGACCTTTCCCAAAAATGTAAGTCTTCGAACAAAGAATCCCATCATTTTTTGAAGAAAACCTTGTAGGAGGGATGTGTAAGAAGCAATATGGCACAAGAGCTAGGAGCTGGTATGGAGGAAACCTTCACCACATGCCCAAGCTAAAGAGCGTCTTGCAACCCCACGCTGAAGGGAAACCAACTAAAGAATTCCCCAAAAAGGAGCAGATGTGTAGAATGGATCTTGAACTTTTTCCTCAGATCTTTACATATTAGGAAGAGAGCTCAAAACACATAAACAGCTTAAACTTTTTTGAAGCTTTTTTACCCTGCTGTCTCTTCTGTTGTGATGACGTTAATGATGCCAAACTTTTCAGTTGGAAGCTTAAGGAGGGAAAATAATTTGCTCTAGACCTTTAATTTTTGATTTAAAGAGCCCAAGTAATACTAACACTGTTCCCGTAATTTCTCACAGCAGTCCAATGACTTGTGACTTAATGGACAGAGCAACTGATGTCCCTGTCTGAATCATCTGAGTCACTGCAGGGGGCCCATAAACGCGTTTCAACACTACACTACTCACCAGCTTCTCTGCTAATCCTCAAAAAGGTTGCCAGTAAGGGGGAAGATCTACTCCAAGAGCTGAAATTGATACCAAGAAGTTAAAGCTGGACCAGAAGTAGCACTCCCCCAAAACCCCACCACCTCTGCTGATGGATTTCTCTCAGGAAAGAGAAATGGAATTTTTCCTTGACTGTTGATGTTATCCATATATTAAAAACAAGATCAGTGAAGATTATGTTGGTGTAAGAATATCCAAGAACTGGTGCATGTTTTCCATTTCTTGGGCCTTTTCTTCCTAAATCTGAGACCCTTTTGCTGTTTCTTGAAGCTGCCTAAAATAGTTCAATGCAAAGTAAAAAGTGGTATTTTTGGAAGTGACTGAAAATTGTTTTACTCAGAAGTTCTATCTGTGTGATTTATAATTGCTGCTGCTTCTCATCCATAAGGATGGCTGTGTACAGCACCCAAGAGAAAGAGTCATGCCGCAGGGAACTAGCACGTTATCTTGGAAGTGGCAAAAGAGCGAAGAGCAGCACAAGAAATCGGTGGTTTTCTAAACAGATGATCTCAAACAATTCTCAGTCTATAATACGTTGAAAAGAAGTCCTGGCATAAAGATACTGAAGCACTTAGGACCATCAGAGGATCGACTGGAGCAAAGGAACTGTAATACTTTCAGGGAAAACGAAGGATCTGGGGCCATGTATAACTGAACTTTCAAGTAGTGGAGGACAGCAGAGACTAGAAACTGGACTGGAAGACACGGGTGCCAAAACCATTTTTGTGAAGGGGGACTTGTTCGAGAACAAAGCTGTTGAAATGGACAGTGTTTTGCTTCCTAAGTACAGAAAAGATTTCTTTTGATATCTAAGAAACCAAATTCTATGTTCTAGAGAGACAACAGAAAAAAGAAACTGCATAGCACTTCACTTCTTTGGGAAATGCAACCTACGGAGTAAAGGTAATGATGGCAAATAGAACAATTTTTTTGAGGCATAAAGAAGGAAGGGTATGTTTTCTTTCAACAGTGCTATTTCTTGTGTGTAATTATATTTGGCAATAACCATATTTATTTTGCATTATGAAAATAATTCAGTATTACAGCTAGGGCCTGCCCTGGAAAGATATACCTGGCAACAGTACTGTAACATCAGGGCTGAGAGATTCAGTGTAAAAAGCTCCTTCAATCTCATCTCAGGAGCAAGACCCCTCTTTGTTCTCCTTGTGCGGAAGCATTGCTCCAGGCTGCTTCTCCCCACTTCCCCACACTTCCATTACTGACCACCAGCAGGGATGGGCCATCAGGGCAGAAGTTTGGTTCAGGACATAAACATACAATGATTAAAAGTCTTGTTAGGATAAGGAGTCCTGACCACTAACAATCAAAACAGAGAATTACAGAATGCTTAGGAATGGTTGTTTAGAAGGAAGAAAAACCTACACTCCAACCAGCTGGCTTTGAAGGTAAGGGAGCAGCAAACATCTGTAAGATAAAAAGTTCTCAAAAATAATATTCTTAATAGCAAAGTAAACCAGATTTCACATTCAATATTTCAGTGTTGCAAAGCTTCAGGCTTATGAGGTTCACATTTCTTAAAGCTTTAACTCAAACATCTCTTCTGAAAAGCTTTCACCGAGTTTCATTTTGGATGTAATACTTGCAAGATTTACATCCCTTCCATGTTTCTCATCTAAAGTTGCAATTGTGGACTCTAAGCATTTATCAAAAACCCGTGACCCTGCAGAAGAAGAGTCCCCTTCCATTTGTATAAACACGACCTTTTTGGTCAGAGAATCATCATCTCTGTTCCTTCAAAAGAAGGGGAAGAAGAGCAAAGAGGGTCTCGCCGAGCCAAAGGTTCCTCTGCTCTGACAGAGCAGAACCAGCTCCTGCCTTGGCCCTGGGGCACTTCACACCCAGATGAGGGGAGTTCGGAACGTGGAATAGTTCAGAAGCCCTAGAAAGCACGTGTCAGACATCTTGTTTGATCCTCTTCCGTGCTCAGAGGCTGCTCTGTAGTTAGCAATTTCTCCATGCATCTTCTACTGTTTAAATATATTTTTAATGTAGGTAAATGCTCAAAGAGCAACCGATGATATAAATAGCTACGAATGCTTTCTCAGTCTGACTGTGAGTTCAGATTAACGTAAAACAGGTATAAATCCAACTTCCTACTTACCATTTTAACCTCTACTTTTCTTGGAGGTGCCACTAAAGATGGACTCTTACAGTTTTGTTCTGCTTTTTCCCATTACCTAACTTTTGCAGTATAGTATTTGAGCATACTTTTAAATACTAGAGGAAATAAGCACTTTTATGAAACACCTGCAAAGGTACATAGCCTTTTAAAAGCAGATCTCTTAAGCAACCAAGGGTGGTGGTTTGGGTGTTTTTGAGAGTTACTTATTAGAAAGCTGCAGTGAGTTAAAGCAAATTTTTACCTGATTGAAAATATCTCCTCGAACAACTTCACAATCAACTTTGTATTTACAGATCAGGCAGGAAGCTGTTGCAAAGGAACCTGAGGGAAACAAAAAACATATGGTAGAAATAAGGATTTTCAGTCATTCAGTCTTTTTGCCCAACCTGTTTTGACACAAAGGCTGTTATCTTGCAGCGCTATAAAACCCAGTCATTAAAAAGTAATTTAAAATTAAGATACTTGTAGTACTAAATGTAGTTCTTCTAGACGTTAGTCAGCAGAACTCTTGGTTTAGGAGTAGGATATATGACATGCATGTCTGTCAAAAATTATATTGTGGCCTTTCATTCCCCCAAGCATATAGGAGGGGAGAAGAGAACTTTCCCTCTTCCTCTTTACACATTGAAGAGTCGTGCCAACAGCTCTGCAAACTGCAGCGGCAGGACACAAACCCAAGAAACTGTAGTTACCAAAGGGCAAAATAACTGAGAAAATGCATTAGTAAAGGCTTTGCTATAGGCAACTGAACGGCAGTACTGTTCCTTTCAGCAGAAGTGAGAAGTTACAGCTATATTATTCAAACTGAAATACTGCTCGGAATGTGGTATCCAGCTTAGCTGCCATGTTTATTATTTGGCAAGCCCATGGTAAGTTGGTGGCTCCGTCCAGCCACTTGGTAGCTCTGACTGGCCTGTTTCTGACACAGCTGAAGGTGATGCCCGAGTACTGGTAGAGCATTCGTGTCTCTCTCTAAAGGGAAATCTTATCAGGTGGCTAAGACACACATGAAAATACACAACATGAAGTCATTGTGGCAAACTAGAGCGGCTTTTTGGTGCACATGTGTCTACAAGGCCTTTTATCTGCGCAAGGAGTAATGCTGGCTGTAGACATAATGCTGAAGAACAAAGTGAAAAATTGACAGATTTTCTCCTAACCATGAAACAAGGCTTAAAAAGAAAAAAAATTTGCAGATCTTTTTGACGCTGCACTGGAATGTGCCAGTCATACAGTGAAAGTCTGGAGCTCTGCAGTCTCTAATGGTGCTATGAGGGCAGTAAGAAAGTCCTGTGACTGAGTAATGTATGGGGGGTACAAAAACCTCGCTTCAAAAGGAAACTTTTAGAAGGGTAACGGTTAAGATGTTGAAGGCCTTGCAGAAGCTAGGAACAGCTAAAAGCCTCTGGTAGCAAAAACTTTATCTGGAGTATTATTTTAAGCCGCTCAAACCGAAGATATTTTCTGCTCATAACCTACACACAGCAGCCAACCAACGCTTACACTGCTAAGTGAAGGGATTCTGGGACTTAAGTACGATATCAAAATATGTTTGGGGATATTGTGTCTGGGTGAAACAGAGTGAAAGCACAGAACAACTTGGAGCAGATTATTTATGAACTGGTGGTTTGGGTCTGCTCATCTCTGCTGGCATAGAAAGCGGTGAGACTGTGAACCCCAGAACTTGAGGGGTTCCACAGACTACAGGAAGTGTGACGGTTATTATTTGCTCATTATAATGCATTTATAGTAACAATTTTAGTCCTTTATATAGTGTGTTAGGGACACGTCTGTCAGGCTAGCAGACCTAACCCTGTCTGAGGGGTTGCTGCCGACTTGCAACTCTATTATGTGAGGTTTTTTTCACCGTCAGAAGGACTCAATCGAGAAGTGACGCTGCCCCATGCACAAGTCACGTCTAGCCAGCAGGCCACTGCCTCTGATCGCTCAGCTACAGCAATGGCAAGGAACACAATGCAAGTCCCGACATGCTGGTTGAATGCATTTAAAATTCAGAAAATGCATCCAAGATACAGTAGTTTTCATAGTAGCAACTTTACTATAGGTCTGCAGTGTGAAATGGGTTCATATATGAACTCCCCAAATCATGACAAGGTAGGTCTGCAGTGTGAAATGGGTTCAGGGGTTCATATATGAACTCCCCAAATCATGACAAGGTTCCTTGTCATTTGGCACACTCATGATTAACTTGCCATTGCCACAGCTAGACAAAAAAGATGAATAAATGTAGCAGCATGAGCCCTTGCATAACACAGTTTCAGTTTCTCTTTAGCCACTCCCAGAGTCCACTGGCATTTGTTAAAGAGCAGCAGAACTGTACGTCAGATAGGCCTTGATAAGCTCAAAACAGCCTTTGCTAATTTCCAAAGGCCTCAAAATCTCAAAGTCCATAGCATGTTTGAAGAAAATTGAAGAATATGGCACCGAGCTTAAGCTTTGTAGATAAGGAAACCAAGTGAGTTTGGTCCCTGGAAAAGGTGTAATGAGACAGACAGGTCTTACAAATGGGCCAACACTGCTTTTAGACAATTTATTTGCCAGAAGCCTACTCAATGATCCAAACGCGCACTTCAAGAAATAATTTTCTGTGCCCTTTCCTTAAAAATGAATCCTTGGACTTTTAGCTTGACATTCGCAAGTCCTTGGACATGGAAAGCATATCAAACAACTAAGAGATTCCCCTTAATTCGGTGTCATAGTTACAGAATGTGTATGACACTGAAGGTGTAACAAGATGATCTTCAGTTCACCTGAGCTGAACTGGTTATTAATCCACAATATTTTATACGTGAGATAAAATCACTGCAGTGTCAGGGTATTTTAAGATTTCAATGGAATATAACCTAAATACAGAACCAGATAGCAGCCAAACTCCCTTTCACTGAGAGACAGTGAGAGGGACCCATGAAAAGGCTGATGTCCACGCTATGTTCTCACATGGGAATATACAGAAGCACCAAATAAATTTTAAAAGTTAAGGTCTAAGCTTGTGCGAACAGGGTGTGGATCTTCACTGAACCACAAAGACCACCGTTTATCAAGCATAATTTCTGAAAGAAGTATTTCCACTTGAAACACTTCTGATTTAAATACTTAAGCTACCTAAAATAACATTCAGTATTTTAAAAGCAGAATATTTGTTGCCAAGAGATACCGATTGAAGAAAAAAAAAATTTTATTCCAATTGCGATTACCTTGTCACCTGCCCCAGTAAAAATCATTCCTACGCATAAAATAAGAAAAGCGAAACTGAAACCACTAACCATGACACTGTATTATCCTCTGGATTCCTGCAACCTGTTCCAACGTGTCTATGTTCTGAGTATAGTTGCGAAGTAGTTTTCCTTCTTTATCCATCAAAGCTATGAACTTGTGACAGAGAGATGGCTGGAATTGTCCTGGATAGATTTCCTGGGGGATTCAGAAGTACGTTAGGAAGCGTAAATGGATGGACACGCAATGTCTTTATTCCAACTGCAGCAATTCACACAGAGCTAAATATTAGCAATAATGATTACATCAGCAGTTAACGCTGTCGCTGCCTTTGCATATTGCCATTTCTCCCAGATCCACCTCCTCTTTCAACAGCTGAGCTTCTGATCATGTCAGGATGAATTGCTCCATGCAAGCTGGTACCTTGTTCTTCACGCAGCATAAAAGCAAGGTTGAGATCTTTTTTTGGGTTTGAGAATTAGGGAATAGGAAAGCTTTTTTTTCCTTTGTAAGTGTCAAGTAATCTCAGTATTTGTTATTGGAAACATCTGTGGTTTAACTGCAGTCTGACAGAAATTTCATGAGGAATTTGGATTCTGGTCTTTTGGTTTGGGATCAGCGGTTTTTGCTCCTCAGCGTTATCAGCAGCCATTCCTAGGAGATGGATGCCCAGAAAGCCAAATGGCATCGGCTGTAAAGGGGAAGGCAGGTGGCACTCAGAACAGCTTTGCCAATTTAAGCCAGTTACAGTAGCCACCCAGTTAAAACCATAGGGCCTAGCAGAGCAATTCCATCATGCTCAATAAGCACTTAGCCCTTCCATTAGATGAAGGCAGAGGCAGGTATAGCTGAAGACCATATGGAAAACATAGGCGCTTTTATAGAACAATTTGATGTTTGCTCACAGTGAACAAGGAGCCTGCCAAAAGGAAAAATTAAATGTGGGCACCCAGCTGAAAGCTTCACGCTAGGAACCTCTGTCCAGAGCTGACCACCCCGGGTGGTTCCTCTGGCTGAGGTGTCACAAGGAGGACGGCAGCAGCACCACCACTCTCTTGCTCAGGAGCACTTGTTGAGGGCAGGAACTTGAATTCCAGACCCTCTGCTCTCCAGTCACTCCCCCACCACTGAACAGCAACTGGGCTGGAGTCTCACCTGGGAAAGTGAGGCCTTTTTTACAGAAAAAGCACGAAAGTCGCTGGCCAAAAGGAAGTTAGCAAGGAGGCGGCTGCTGCTGCCTCCCTTTACCAGGAGAGACTTAAAGCTGAACCAAAAGTTCTAGCACAACAGTGAACTGTTAAATTCATCTTTGTGACAGCTCTGCCTTCAGCTACTATATAGCCTAACTATTAACAACACAAAAAGACGACTTTTGGAAAGCATTTGTTTTTCCCCCAAATATTTTAAGTTACTCATAATTCTGAAGCTACACGGGTTGGAGTTAAGCTGCAGCAATGATCAGGGATTGCTCATAGCGCTATTACCCAGATAACGACACGGCCATTACACAGTTACCATCAGATATTCATGTGGTCCTAACAGCTTTCATATGTTAGTCTGAAGAAGCAAGACATGTTCTGCCACTGAGCTCTGCAAATTTATTTGGCCATTCTTTGCCCCTAGAATTAAAGGAACTTAAGATTTCATGGAATAAGTCAATATTCTAACTGAGCTGATGGAGAGAAAAGGAGAAGGAGGAGAAATTGTTTTAGTAAAAAAGCATGAATCAAATTGGGCTTGGACTCTTCTGGTAAAACCTGTGTACAGACAGGCTTCAGTTAAGTTGGTTTTTTAGTTTGCTGTGGGGTTTTGAGGGTTTTTTTTGTTTTGTTCTGTTTTTTTTTTTTTTAAATATTAAAACTCCAAGGAACTGAGTATGGATAGGAGGCTTTCAGAGAAAGTCAAGCAGCTGAAGAATGCATTAATTTTTCTTTTCTAACCTTTAAAACATCACAAAGCAGGAGTATAAATTGTGAGCAAAGGGAAGCAAGAGTGAGCGCAACTAGCAGTGATTGATTTTCACAAGTCCTTACTGGTCCTGTAGTAATTCTTACAAGATTTTGGGTTTTTTTTGTCCTGAGGAAAATCCAAACCAAATGCAAATTTTTTTTGTTTGTTTCTACATACGTCTACAGCTACAATTCCTTCTTGTCTTGGAGATGTAGTCCCTCACTATCACTAACATCTTTCCAAAAACTGCTGCGTTCTCCCTTTTAAGCGAACGCAGTCCCTGCAAAAAGGCTTTAATTCTCTAAGATGTACAGATCCTTGCGACAGCTGTGTCAAACCCTGAAACAAGAACAAACTTCTTAGCGTATGAGACTGCTTTAGTCCTCTCTACTGTAAATACAGGGATAAAATGTGAATGTACTGTGTGACACTGGAGAGCGTGCCACAGCAGATCAAACTCAAGTGTAGCTTTCCACATTACTCATGTGCTGGCCAAAAGTTTCTCAAATTCTTTCATTTTTCAGAGAAAGTAACAGCAACAAAGATTATTGAGGTTTGACCAAATAACTACAAGTTTTTACTCATCCTCCCTGAAATTAGAGACACCATCTGGAATGGCTGTATATATAATGAACTTAAAACAGGAACAGTAAAAATAAGCTTAAAAAAAAAAAAAAAAAAAAAACCTGTATATATAATGAACTTAAAACAGGAACAGTAAAAAAAAGCTTAAAAAAAAAAAAAAAAAAGAGACTTGCTAAATATTTCTAAAAGGGCTGGTAAGCGGTTGCATACAATGACCAAAGTAATACCGAGGATATAAAATTGATACATTGCGAAGACCTGCCCAAGGAGAGGGTAATGCCACTGAATAAGGCGTCGTTAAATTCAATATATTCCCATGTTTATCTTGTTAATAGACAAAGATACTGTTTGTTAACAGAACAGGTTTATATCTGATTTATGCATTTTAATATTGTTCGCTGCCTTTACTGACCAAGATAAGGACTGTTGGAAAACCATACCTTTGCAAACTTAAAAAACGGCCTGGGATCCTTTCTGAAGTATTCTATATCAAACATTGCTTGAGGATCTGGAAGGTCTGGGAAGTCCACAGCAAGGCGTGCGTAGATGCCATCTCTTGATCTAAAGTCAGGTATTCCACAGGACACAGACACCTGAAACACATTTTTGCAATCTGAAATAAGCAAAACTACGTATTCGGCTACAAAGAAAGAGTTGCTATGATACAAACTATTGGGAAACCACATTTCTGTGTGCTCACAGTGTTCAGGAACGTTAAGGACAAAACCAGTCTGGGTTCTCTGTATTTATTTTTCTTTTTTTTTTTTTTCCTTTTTTTGGGGGGGACACCAATACAACAATTCCCAAATCAGCAGCAGGAGAAACAGCACAGAAACAAAGTTTGACAACTGGACAAAAAAAAACCCTTCAGTACAATCTGTACAGGCAGTCATAGGACACCAGAACTTACTTTTACTACTGGAAGTTTTGTAAGAAGTGAACACAGCTTTTAAATACTGTTGCGTTAAATTTGATTGGTAAGTGTTCATTGGGCTGCCACCTTCGGTGTGGATTTTTTTTTAACTAACATGCTAACACAGTAACAGAATAGATTCTTACTTTTGATGAATAAACCCCTTTTGCCAAACCAACTGTTCATCAAAGCATTGTAGCAGTCACTAATGACTGAAATTTATTGTTTCAGACTACCCCAAAATACTGTGGGAAGAGGAGAGATGGGTGTATGATAGCAATTCTAGAAAGAGCAGGATTGGGTAATGGAAGTAGCAGTGCTGATTTGAAGCTGATTTGAATTACTCCTCTTTTCTGAACGGTGTCACACCCTCCGTGTATGAACAAGAAAAAAATGATCACCTTTGGTGTCATGGTCTGGTACACAGGTATAAACCTGCAAATGTGCAACAGTTTAAGAATGTTCTTTAGTCAACCAGAGAGTAATCTTATTGCCACCATAGAGCAGCACACATTGAAAGTAAAATTCAGTCTCCTGCAATCGAATCAAACTCTCCTTCTAACCCCCCCCAATTGTTTTCTTTTTTTTCTTTTCCAGTCCCCTCTAGCCCCGTCAGGTATTTTCAGAGATCCACTGACATTTTGTTTAAAGAATCATGCCTTTGTTTCAAATGAAAAAATTACTAGGATGGAAAATGTTCTGGAACAGATAGGTGTGATCTTGCTCCATAACTATTTTGCATGGAAGCGACTGTTTAAGAGTTTAAATGTTTAAGAATATTTTCTGGTAAGAAGAGCGCTCCTCTAATTTCCAACTTAAGCTCCAGTCCTGCAGCGTGCATCGTTCTGGTGGACAGCTGTGCCTCCTCTTCCCATCTAGCACAATTATTTGATAACGAATGTTGCAAGGGTCACATCACCTGCATGCTGTAAAGCACCGGGTAAATATTTAACCAACCGTCTCTATATTCTCTGTCCTTGCAGCAATACGTACCCCAGCTCCAGTCAAGACCATTATTTTTTTGCATTCTTGTAGAAGTTTCACAGCATCATCAATAGTATTAATATCTTTTCGTTTTTTTCTTTTTGGTGGTTCTGAAAGAATGTTTATAACAATTTGCCACAGTGTCATATCATCCAGCTCGGGTGGAGGGATCGTTTCCGGTAGCAGGTCTTTCAGAATTGTCCGTGGGTCTGTACCTAACATGAGATGCTGCTGAACAAAAGTGTAGGGACCTAAGAAAATTAAAAAAAAAAAAATATTTAAAATTGAGTCAGGTATTTCAGATGATTATGATCATCGTCCCATTTATTAATGCTTCCTACTACAATTCTATTAATCCAATTTAATGCTTCGTTCCTTAAAACCCCTGTACGTTTTGGTCTAAATTCTGAAGTGATGGTATAGCCAGGGGGTTCACTTCTTATTTTCCTGTTAGCCCATGAAGGATTTCATAGGAAGTTAGTGAAGGTAGAAATCCCAGTTCATAGCAAGCCTGATGGCACACTTATTTAGCAGCAATATTTTCACAATGTATCTCCATTTTCTGGCTTCATTTGTATTTTTCCACCATTTTGTAAGGTATTTACAGTAGGAAGTTGAACGAGACAACAAGCATACTTATACTTTCTAGTCATATTATAAAATATCACTCTACAAAGAGGGCCTGCCAAGTCCAGGGATTTCTGTTGTTCTTTTAGTCATCTCACACTAATGATTTCAGACGTGACCTCCTAAAGCCATCAAATCAATCTTTCCAGAAACACTCGAGATTAGAGGAGGAGAAGAAAAACAGGTAAATCTTATGAAGCTAAACTGACTAAGAGGACCCAAACGGTTACCACTAAGGCTAGCAAGATCTATACCTATATACGCGTGGGTGTGAACACACACATATAAAGAAAACGGTTGTTTGAAGTATTTACTCAAAATGTATCAACAGTGACCTTGTAACGAGGAATCAGCAAAACCAACACATGGGCAGATTGTCATGGAATATTGTGTTATCATCATGTGTTTTCCTGCTGCTATTCTCATCAGTACTGGCAAAACGAATGCGCCGGGGTGTCAATGCGCCTGGGTAAGACAAAAGACCTCGACTGCCAGCCCCGCTGCCCCCTGGAAGCCACCGTCGCCAGTGACCTTAGCGGTACCTTGCCTCTGTGCGAGGGGAGAGCTTGCCACCAAGCTCCTATCTGCCACACTTAACTCCTCAGTGGCTAACGTGCAATACAATCGGAAATTCCCAAACTGAGGTAACGCTTGGGACAGGGAGCCCTACAGCTTGGCTAAAATCATAAAAGAATCATCTTGTTCCTTGAAGAATTAATACGAGGTAAACAGGCCTAGAAATGTGCCATAAATCTGTTCAGTTTAGTGGGTCTGGGTGTATGCTTTTAATATGGATCACGGCAGGATTTCTACACAAAAAAAGACATTGACAATTTAAATCAAAATACTGCAGTTTTAAAGAGGTTCATTTTTAAACTGCTTAAATAACGTACAGAATACAGTCACAACTCTACGCTGCTCAAAAGCAGTAATTGCCCTTTTTTTTTTTTTTTTTTGCAACAGAAGGAATAATTTGAAGACTGGGAAGAATTAAGTAACCGTCCAAAGGCAAACAGCATCTAAGAACATTATACAGGCTTCTACCTATACGTGGTCTTGGGGTCCAGTCACTAGAACTTGCATGTGAGGCTCTGTCATCTTCATCGCTGTCACAGGAGTGAAAACCATTGGCTATGATTTCATCGCTAAAAAGGAAGTTATCTGCAAGACAGCACAACAACGATGGGTTATGCTTGAGCCACGTGGCAGATACATGAATATACAAATACGTATGAATTACAAATAGGCAGTTTTGTCACCTAGACACAGAAAAATTCTGCTTTTTTTTCAGTGTATAGATACACTTTCCAGCCTTCAGCAGATTTACTGCAGGATTTGCTCTGGGCTTCGGTGGGCTGGATGTTGGCCTTAGTGAAATATTCATCCTATAAAGTGTTGGGCATTAAAGATTTTGTATCTCCAAAAAAAAAATCTCAATGTTTTGAAAGTACAATTAAAAATTCCTTCTTAGAATCATGGAATCATTTAGGTTGGAAAAGCCCTTTAAGATCACCAAGCCCAACCGTTACCCTAACCCTGCCATCCCACCACTAAACCCTGGCCCTCAGCACCTCTTCTTACAATTCTCACTTCATTCAAGTCGCTGAGAAATTGGATAAAATGAAAACGCACCAGCATTTAACAGAGCACAGCGTTCTAAAAGAAACCCACAAATACGCATCTGGATGCAACCAAGTCACAGAACTGCGTCAGGCTGTGCCGCGGCAGGTGACCACGCACCCAATTCCATGATATTTCAGTTACGACACAAAATGTTGCTACCTTGAACCGCCTGCACTAAGCTGCTCTCACCCATTTTACCCACAGCGGGGTTTGGCTTAGGGTACCACAGTTAACTTCAGCTCAGCTTGTGGCCTTGAGCCTCCGCCTGACTTCACCGCGCGCCTAGATGAAGCAGTCCAAAGAAGGAGGAGATCCTTGCCTTACAGCATGCATTACTACGCTAACACTTAAGGGGAAATCTGAATTTTAACCTGAGCAGCTTAGTAGAATTTAGACTACTAGACTTTTTCATTGGCTTTATTGGAAGTAGCCACAGCAACCGTAGCTTAATTTGTTGAAAATTGGAGACTATGGACAAAGGAGAACAAGTTTCAGTTGTGCTCTCTACAGCAAAGACTCACTGTAATAGTTCTCAAACTCTCTTTGGATAAGCCCCTACGATATTTTAGCTTTAGGTTACTTCACTTTACTCTTAAATAAAGACCACCACAAAACACCATCATATTTTATTCAGATCGTGTTGTCCTGTTCTTTCCCTTGGTGGCATAAATCCTTTATTCTCATTAGAATGGGAAGAGCCAGAGGACAGAAATTGGCTTTTGTACGTGCTGTCTTGTTCTTCTTAGAGCACGGGTGCTCACTGACGTTACCATTTCTTATTGATAATCTACGTATTTACAGCATTTCACTTCCATCTCGTTATGCACGAAGTCAGCGAACGTATTACGCAAAAAGCATCAGGAAGAAGAGGAGCGCTGGTGCGTACACATCAGCCAGTGCGAAGCGCGAGTTCCACCAGAACGACCTTTACGGCTCCTGTACAAAGCATCAAAGCTCAGGCTGCTAAAGGCCCATCACGCACAGGCCACACGGTCTGTAGGTAAGAAACACTGTGGCGGATACAGGCAGGCTAAAGTAACGGTTCACACTGTAACTCTCCCCCGGGATCCATCCGATTCCTCGAAGGACCAAAGGGAACGCTTGCCAGAACCAAGCGATCCACAGCGAAACACGCCCGAGGATCCGAGGAACTTGAGCAAAGAGGCTTCATCTAAGGCACCGAGAAGGGAGCACCAGCTTTACTCTGTGCTGTTCCAGTGCAGTTTTTAAATGCCAAGGCTGCTCCAAGCTCAGCGCACAGCTCTGTTCCCTTCTGGATCGCTTCTGCACGGGCAGGAATTTTGTGTAGAGTTTTACTATGGAGGTAAAGGTAAAATATCTTTAACTGCATTCCAGGATAAGACGACAAGACTTCCCTGGCAGAAGGCATTATCTTGCCCCTTTTAAAAAGCCTTCCCAAAGCACTGCCTCAAAAACCAAAATGAAGCCCAAACCCCCCTCCCTAACACCCATCTGTTTCAGTAACGCAGCCCAAGGTACTTCCACAGCGACACTGCCCAGGCTGCAGGCTTCGTGCGCAATCCGCGCGGGGACTCCGCAGAAGCTGACAGTTTACTTTTGTGCTGCGCTCGCTGACATCTTAACCCAGACCGTAACCTGAAGTTACGCGGTGGATCAGGCCCGCTGCTCCTCTGCTTTCCTGTGCGAGTTTCCAAGAAACAGGAGTCAAATCGCGACAGGAAGCGCGAGAAGGGAAGAGCGCTCGGGCTTCTTCGGTTTTAATGACTCGTCGCCGGCAACCACGCGAAACGAGCGTTTTCAGAAACGAGAGCCGGGTCGCTCTCCCGC